GAGAGTAGGGAATACAGTTCAAGTTAGAAGTTAGGAGCCCGCCTAGAGAGCAGGGAATACATTTCAAGTTAGAAGTCAGGAGCCCACCTGGAGAACAAGGGAATACATTCATGTTTCAGCAATCAGGCGTCCACCTGGAGAAAGGGAAACATCTCAGATTACAATGCAAGGCGGCAACAAGGGGATTCCACCAGGAGAATACCAGTCAACAAAGCAACAAGAACCACAAGAGCAAGTCTGAAGATATAGATAGGATTTTATAATGCGTAGATCATAGTCTAGTCTAGCTTCTTTTCATTTTATCATGGTGTAATAAGGGGGTTCAGTAAGCAGTAGAAGCAACAACAACAACAGTGAAATCACAGCTTTATGGTAGTCCCAGCTACCAAAACTTTTGAACTACACAGACCTGATTCCTTTATGGCCAAGGATATGTAGGCAACCTCGGAAGTAGGGTGCGGTCAAATCATTTAAAAATGCTTCCCACAGAATACTCAAACGGGCAAAAATAGCTCATACCCGCTCACTTTATCTTTGCACGAAAACTCTTCGTGTTTCCGAGAAAAGAGGGGCAGCTGTGAGCACGTGATTTTTTCCCTATATGAATTATTCCCATAAATTCAAAAGTAATAAATTTTTCCCATTGTTTGCAATTTCATGGATTTTTGTAGCATTTTTTTTATTAATTGCTTGCATTTGTCTGTGCACGTTTATTTTATTCATGAAAATATAAAAAATATATTGCATTTGCATTTAGGATTCAATTTTGCATTTTTCAATTAATTAGTAGTTTAGTTGTGTTACAAAATAGGAAAATCACAAAGATAACTCATTTTTGCATTTTTAACTTTTAATTTTGAAATTTTTAGTTTTTTTGGTAATTTAGGATATAGTTAATTATAGAAAATACTGTGTTGAGTAAATTTAATTTAGCTCAAGAGTTGATTTAGGATTTAAATTAATTAAAAAAGAAAAAAAGAAAAAAAAGGAAAATTGAATGTGGAAAATGACAAGAAAAGAAGTAAGGGCTGTTTTGGGCCAAATTGTAACGGCCCAAGTAAATTCCCCCTCCCAAAACCCGCTCGAGTCCAGGCCAAAACTTGTCCAAACCCAGTCCCCCTACCACTTAATCAAACGACCCCGTTCCTGACCCAAACGACCCCATTTTGAAGCCCTTTGATCTGGGCTGTTGTTTTTGACTAATCAGACGGCTGGGAACTAGGGTCTTCTTGGTATATATATGTCTGAACGCCATTACCCCCCATCTCGTCTCTTTCAGAGACCGATCCCCAACGAACCCTAACTGAGCCGCCTCAAAATTCCACCGCCTTCCCCTGGCGGCGCCACCGTGAACCGCCACCAAACTTACACCAAATGCCTTCCTCCATCTCCATATCCCAAATCCGCACCCCTCTTCCCTCAAATCGATCCCCAACTGTTCAAATCTCAAACCGAAGTCTCAAACCCTAGCCGCCACCCTAGAATTCCCAACCCCCTGCATGGCGGCGCCGAGCACTTTCCCTACCAAATCAACACCAAGTGACCACCAGTCCCTCCCCATCTCAAATCCCATGTTGGTTTCTTTCGAATATCCACGAAAGCCCCCGAATCTTGGAATCAAGTTTAGCCCTAAAGTTCTGATTTTATACAACTGAAGTTCTTGGTGAAGTTTTGGTTCATTTTGAGGTTATTCATGTATTTGTGATGAGAAAATACATGTTTAATCTCAAATTGAGCCGAGATTGGAGAAATTCGAAGGTTGTTACCTTTCTTCTTCTGTTCAAATCATGTTAGGTATTTTTCTTCTTTATCTTTTGTTCAATATTCTTTTTGTTCTACTCCTCCATTCCTTCTTTTATTTTGTTGTATTGTTTGACCCTTTTGTGTTCGTTCAGAGAGTCATTTATTCATGCCTGGTTAATTTAGGGTTCTTGCTTAGTTAATTAGTTCGCCTAGCAATTGGGTTAGTTCCCTTTCGTAATTTAGCACTAATATAGGTCAGGTTCTAGTTATGAGGTTTATGACAGTACTTGTATTGTTTTTTCTTTTCTCTTTCAAAAGCTTATAGAATTAGAGATTTGATTTGGGGCCTCAATTCATTACTAATCCGTTTGGCAATTGAGCCCATTCAATTTGGCTTGTATTTTTGGGTCGAACTTGGCCCGTTTGGTTTGTGTTTGAAGTAATTCTCAAAACTGGGAGGGTAGTCTAGGTATTTTCGGGAGGGAATCTTTTCTGTAACTAACTAGAAGCTTCCAGGAAAAGGGGGAAGGGGGGGGGGGGTAGCTCAGTAATTGGTTTTAATTGAGGGTGTTAAATGAACAAAAGAAAATTTTGAAAAGGGATTGAAGGGTAAAAATCAAATTCGGAAAGTTGCCCTACCTGCCTTGCATATAAAGGCAGGCAGACTTTCTTTNTTCATGGCCCTCATTTTTAATTAGACTTTGCTTTAATCCTTAGAATTCGAGGCGCGCCATTTAGCAAATTCCATGGCCCTCGCAAAGTGCAAACGCGTAATTGCTTAGGTGCGTATTCTAATAATCTACTTTCCTAAACTCGGGTGCACATTTATGTGACCCAAATCCAAATCTCAATGATGTTAAAATATGTCAAAAATCACGGGCACATTTATGTGACGTGATTCGAGGCGTGTTTTAATAACGTTGCAATTTCTCACTAAAAATGGATAAAAGCGGGTAAAGTCAAAATTTGCACATAGGTTCATAATTGTTTAAAATCAGATAATTAAGCCGAATATAACAGTTGAGCGACCGTGCTAGAACCACGGAACTCGGGAATGCCTAACACCTTCTCTCGGGTTAACAGAATTCCTTACTTGGATTTCTGGTTCGCAGACTGTTAAACAGAGTCAATCTTTTCCTCGATTCGGGGTTTGAAACCGGTGACTTGGGACACCATAAATTATCCCAAGTGGCGACTCTGAATTTAATAAATAAATCATCCCGTTTCGATTGTCACTTTAAATTGGAAAAACTCCCTTATACCAGTCCCGGGTGTTAAAAAGGAGGTGTGACAACTATATGTTGCACTTTCAAGAGGAATAGCAATATCGACAACAAGAATTCTGGTTACGGCAGAGCAACCAAAGCATTAGAAGGAACCATACTAAAAAAACATCAACTACAACGAAGTATTCGGTAAGATACCATCACATTAAATATTTTTAAACTATAATATATAATTATCTAACTAACATTATTAAATTGATCATTTGTGTAAGTTCTAATGATGACCTTTCATTTTGAATTCACGTATTATGCTAATGTAATATTATTTTCTAGCTGATAGATGATTTAAATGTTTAAGCCATCACGTACCATTATTAACACGCAACACACGTTCATAGATACTAGTATAAGATAAAATTGTGTATGTTTAAATAGAGAAAGGAAATTATGTTAAAAATAATACTCCTAAACCAAAAAGGAGTTCAAAGTGTCGTTTTGTACCTAATATATTCGTAAAAAGTTAATTTGTCAAAACTTTACTAACTTTAAAAACTTTTCTAAACCTAAAAGAAGTATAAATTGGTCAAAACTTTCCTAGTGTAAAATTTAATACTCCTAAATTTAAATGAAGTTCAAAGTAAAAACTTTCCTCCTGAAGAAATTGGAAAAGGAACGAAATTTTTCAACTAAAGGGATTGAAATCAAACGAAACTTTTGAAAAAGAACTAAACTTTCCTACTGAAGGATTTGAAAATTTTAATTAATTCTCTAAGATTTAAACTTTTCTAGTGTGAATTGAACGCTCTAGAATTCTAGAATGGAAAGAAATTCAAAAATCAAAGCTCTAAATATTCAGAAAATAATTAATTGACTATTCTTAACTATTAGGGAATTCATTAAATAGTAGTGATTAGGGAAGTCAAATGACTATTTTATCCAGTGCGAACTCTATTTTTATAAGGGCAAAAAAGGCGAACGACATTTCGCTAAGGGCCTTCGTGCTTTTAATATAGTATAGATTAAGATGCCTGAATCTGAATACACATCTAAATATCAAGATGTGTATTAAGATTAAGACATCTGAATTTGAATACACATTTGAATATATTAAGATGTGTATTAAGATCTGAATAGAAATAATTAAGACTGTTTGATTTTTAACACCTGAATGTATAAAATTTGTCTTTATTTGAAAATTAATAAATATAAAATTCAAATGAAATACTAACTAATCTAATATCGTATCAATAAAATATATAGTTTTTTTATTAAAATACGATAGCCGTTGTTGGTGATGGCTAACGGGTGAATGCCGACTAGAGACGATGGTTGGTGGTAGTTTTGGTTGATGATGGTGGTTCATGCTAGTAGCTAGTAGTGATTGGTAGTGGTGGCGATTATGATTGAGGATGGTGGTAGTGGGTGGTAATAGTTAATAATGGCTGGTGGTGGTAGTAGTTGTGACTGAGGAAGGTGGTGGGTGGGTAGTGGTTTGTTATAATGATGGGCAATGGCGGCTGTGGTTGTTGATGGTGATGGAGTGGTCAGTTGTGGTAGTTGAGGTGGGTGAGTATTGATTGTGGGTGAGAATGATATATGGTGGCCGGAGTGATGGGGATAGTGTGTGGTGATGGTCGATAATGGTGGCAGCTATAATTGAGGATGATGGTGGCATGGTGGCGGTGGTGGTAGTGGGGGTGGTGGCGGCGGCATGGTGGTAGTTGATAATGGTAGGCGGTAGCGGTAGTTAATAATGAATATGTGATAGCATGTTAATTAAATTAAGTTTCTGTTATAGATCTTAATCATACAGACCTGTTAAGACCCAATAAGTAGTTGTGAAGTAAAAAAACAAACACACTAAATGATTAAAATTTGAATAATTAAAATTCTGACTTTAAAAACAAACGCACTTAATGTCTGAGATCTGAATGATTAAGATTCAGATCTCCATTAAATGCAAACAAATGAGGCCTAATTCTTCTTATAAAAGAAAGTCAGAAACTAAACAAGACTCTCCATCCCCGTTTCATTGAGGAAGTGTTTTGAGATAATATCATTAATTTTCCGACGGAGATTGTAATTGTTATCAGTCAGCCAGCAGGATTGTAATTCTCCTATCTTATAAGAGGGAGTTAGCACACACATGGACGACATGCCTGCTTTACACTACAAATTGTCTTCCCATCTAAATTTTTATTAGTTTCGCTTGGATTATATCGACCACTTCGGAAAACCTGGCAATCACCGATATTTTGCTTCTGTCTTCTTCCTCTTCTTGTTCTTATCGGTACCAGACAGATAGCTCTTTAAGAAACTTGGCAGATGCAGGTTCTCTGTATCAAAAACCAATGTAGCAATAGTTTAAAAGTTCCAACGTCTGGAAATTGAAGTTTTCCAGCTCCACCTTTTCGCTCCTCGCAGTTCCTGATCTTACCGCCAATATTTCTCTTTGGGTCATTGTTTTTTGTGAGTTTTCTTCTTCTTATATTTTGTTTCTCTATTTAATCTTTCATGGTATGCCAAGGCTTTGCTGCACAGAAAGTTTAATGTGTCTATCACCTTTGTTCTTTAGGTGTTCGAGGCAATTCCTGAATGAATTAGGCCTTTTTCAATATTTCTATTATTGTTTTAGGTTTAACTACACCTAACAAGAGCTCCCTTTTTTTGTTCCTTTCGTCCACCCCACATCGCCACCCCCACATCGCTAAGCTAAAGAAATTATATTTGTTTTGGATGATAAACAATTAAATGAATGTTGATGTGTTAAAGAAGAAGAAAGAAAGAAAAGAATAAATTGGGAACAATTTCTGATGCTAGGTGTGCTAATTGTTGTGAGATTTCTTGTCATCTTCTTTTTCTTTGTTGTATCTTTTATGGCATGCTAAGGCTTTGTGCACAGGAAGTTTAATATGTCAGTCGCTTATGTTCTTTATGCGCTTCAGAAAATTCTTGATAGAATCAGTCTTATCATTGCCGGTAATTTTGATTTTGGATAAGCAGTAGGCGGTGACACATTTTTAGGCTTGAATATTTCATGAAAAATTTGGGCTGAAAATATTTTACAGATAAAAAGAAGTTGAACTTGTATAGCTGATGGATTCAAAAGAACCAAACAAGTGCTCTTACGCGGAAAAAAAGAAAGGCTGCAATGCAACTCAAACGGTGTGCTACGCAAATCCAAATATCTGCTCATAGAAGGGAAGCGATGTTGCTATCGTGACATATGAGAAGACAAGATTCTGCTAAGCACAGCCTTCTTCAAAGCTCGAATTTTGCTGTCCCAGAGCAATCAACATCATCTTAGGACAAAGTAGGATTCCTGAAACAAACTGCTCTTGCCATACGAGAACCTCCTTCCCTTGCGGAAAAAGGTTAGATTGTTGTACTCATATTTAGAAACCATATGTTATTTATACAATGGTTCTTATGTATTTTGCTTGGAAACTTAGTATGACACCTTGTTTATCTTATATGTGCCTATAAGCTAAAATACTCAAATAGTAAGTGCTCTATTGCACTCTATTTTGCACCTGCTGAAGTTTCACTGTACGCTTTTAAACGCCTTCGTTGTTGTATTACTATCTACCAACCATCAAGCTTGCGTGACTACATTGCGTGATAATTTAGAAAAAGGAAAGGCTATCATTTGTGAAACAGGTAACCATATCCTTCTCTTCGTTAAAAAGGTTATATTGTTGTACTGATGTTTATACACTATATATTATTAGGACAAGGATGCTTCTTAATTTTGCTAGGATATTGAGTATGATATCTTACTTATCTTATATGTGCCTATAAACTAAAATACAAAAATACTACATGATATTTTACACTTTATTTTGCATCTACTGTGGCTTCATTGTACGCTTTTAAATGTCTTGGCTATTCTATTTACTAGCTACCAGTCTTCAAACTTGCACGACTACAGTGATGGATAATCTAGAAAAAGGAAAGCGTATATTAGATCCCCCGATCATTCGTGAAACAGGTAAACCTGCTTTAGATTATACTTTTTTTGAGAATAACATATTGTTTGTACATTACTATAATTTGTGACTATTTACATATAAGGGTCCACATCGGCTACATCTAACCTGCCTCATGTTTCCTTGAAAATGGAGAGTATGAATTAGCAAAGAACAATTAGGCACCATTGGAATAAAGTTAATAACATAGTGCGGACAACATTACAGAGCTAAGAACATTAAAAGTTTGTTTGTTCAAGTATGAAGGATTACATGCATCAGGCCGTCTCAAGCTCCAAAAATGAATCAAACAAACCAAAAAACGGATAGATAGCCTATGAAATTTGTAGAACTTTAGAGGAACAGGATAATTTCAAATGGACGAACACTTAATCATAGAAGTTTGACTGTGGATTAATAAACCCTTCTCCTTTATCGGGCTTGGGACCGGCTGTATTGTAGTATAACTGAAATACAGGCGGAGTTAAAATTTTGATTATTTAGTTCTTGAGGTAGGGTTCATAAGAAATTCTATTATAACAAAGTTCTTGGTGGAATAAGGCTCAGTATGGTAGAATTAACACTTAAGTACAATAAACCCTCACAGATGTTCCACTTTATTTGATGTTTCAACACACTTAAAACGAAAAGGAAGAGTAGAGGACATTCAACTATATGAGGTTGTACGTAAAAAATAAGTTGTATATTTATGAGCACTTGTTTGGTTCTTTGGAATCCATCAGTTATGCTAGTTCAAGTTGTTGTACTCATATTTATACACTATATATTATTAGGACAAGGATGGTTCTTAATTTTGCTAGGAGATTGAGTATGATATCTTATCTTATATGTGTCTATAAACTAAAATACAAAAATACTACATGATGTTTTACACTCTATTTTGTGTCATGACCCAATTTTTTCTCCGTTAGGTTTCGTGATGACACCTAGTCTTAGGGACTTGGTAAGCCTACCAATTTTTGAATATCAATAATAAGGAAAATCCAACAATCTTAATACAGAATCTTTACAAATTTATAGTCTTCCCAAAACCGGTAGTACAAGTCATAAGCTCTATAGAATTTACTACCACTTCTAAATACAACTGTTTGAAGATAAGTAAAACAGTGTGGACATGAAATAGGGAGGTGACTCCGAAGCCTGCGAACGCAGCAACAGGTTTATCTTGAGTCTCCTCAGTAACGACCCGCATAGCTACTAACGAGCAATACCTGGATCTGTACAAAAAAATATACAGAAATATAGTATGAGCACACCACAACGGTGCCCAGTAAGTATCAAGACTAACCTCAGTGGAGTAGTGACGAGGAACAGTCATGACATCTATTGGTCTAATAAACTGAATAAGGATGAGTATAAAAACAACATGATATGATGTCTACATATAAAGACTACGCAGTATGGCTAACAGTACAGTAATTACAATAAGGAATGAAACAACAAGTAACAGTGGAACATTATAATAACGACACAGAAGGATGGACGGAATCACAACTCAAATCCGAAAATTTCAATACAGCAAGGGCAATTAGTGACTCAGCACTGTAAAACGTTTCCACGTCAGGCCTTAGCCAACAACCCCAATATTTTAGTCAAATCCTTCAAGTATAAACTTTCACTCGTAAGTTTCTATATTGAAATCTTTAAAATATAATCCTTTTCAATTGGGAAAAATTCTTTTAAAATATACCTACTTTGAATCTAAACTTTTCAACTAGATATTCTTCAAATATAGTTTCTTCAAGATAGTTACTTTTCAAATATACTCTTTAAATAAATGTCTTTCAAACATAATTTCTTCAAGATGAATGCTTTTCAAATACAACTTTTTAAGTAAATATCCTTCGAGTATAGGTCACTCTGTGATACGTAAGTATAGAATATTAACAGCTATGAACACAGATATATCAATAGGGGAATCTACCGGGGTCCTATCCCGTAGCCCCGAATTCATTATACAGTATAGGGGGATCTCCTGGAATACGTCCGTAGTCGCAAAATAAACATGCAGTGCTGAGGGATCTCCTGAAATACGTCCGTAGTCCCAAAATAAATATGCAGTACAGGGGGATCTCCTGGAATACGTCGTAGTCCCAAAATAAATATGCAGTGCTGGGGGATCTCCCGGAATACGGCCGTAGTCCCAAAATAAATATGCAGTATAGGGGGATCTCCCGGAATACGCCGTAGTCCCAAAATAAATATGTAGTACAGGGGGATCTCCCGGAATACGCCGTAGTCCCAAAATAAATATGTAGTACAGGGGGATCTCCCGGAATACGCCGTAGTTCCAAAATAAATATGCAAAGGATCTCCCACGATATCGTCCCGTAGTCCAAATCATAAATATGCAGGGGGATCTCCCGGAATACCAATCCGTAGTCCCAAAGTAAATATGTAGGGGGATCTCCCGGAATACCGTTTCGTAGTCCCAAAGTAAATACGCAGGGCAACCAATAGAATCAACAATTATATCACAACAGAAGGATCAAACTTCACCGCAATACATATAACCACAACAATGACAATAATATAAGGTAAGACAAGTAAATCAACTCAGGGACTGTAAATCACAAGGAAACGATATAACCAGTTCACAAGGAATAACCACATAAAAGAATGCTGGCATAAATGGAACAGTTCAACAATGGAAAAACTAACATGTAGCAATGATCCCACAATCTACAAGTCAATAATAAGAACTTCAACACGAGTCAAGTCGCCCCAAATAAAAGTAAGTCAACCAGGATATAGATTATCTGAACCCCCTCCACCCATTTTTAAGGTTGGAAAATTACAAGGATATTCAACAATTCAATTTGGGAAAAATGATCTTAGCTTCAGTTAAGACTAAACAAATTTTCAGGAGGGATAATAATAATTCTCAAATAAGACAAGCAGTTATAAAAATATAACATGACAATAGGAGAGGCAAAACTATTCAGTTAAGTCAAATAGGAGTCAATTAGGTAATAAGAGTGAATCATGAAGCAATTAATTACAATTAAGCATGTAGAGGTGAAACTAGTAAATAGGAACTCAGTCATATCAAGAAAACGTTCATACACAACGAATGTAAAGACCTAAGAACCCTAAAAGGCCAAATTTCCCACAAATAAGTCCGAGTACACACTCGTCACCTCGCGTACACGAACTACAATCAATATAGAAGACTTAAATCCTAAGGGATAGTCCTCCACACAAGGTTAGACAAGATACTTACCTTAATCCGGCCAATTCAATACTCAATTTAGCTTTTCCTTTTTCCAGTTCATCAATGCTCGGCTCAATCTAGCCAAAAACGACTTGAATACATTAGCAATGCAAGAGAACATAATTCCAATTAACAAAGCCATGATTCTTATACAATTTGTAAAAAGTCAACTCCTCGGGACCGCACCTCGAAACCTGATAAAATTTACAAAAATCGAATACTCATTCTGATACGAGTTCACCCATACAAAAATTATCCAATTCCGATATCATTTGGTCCTTCAAATCATCATTTTACATTTTTGAAAGATTACACAATTTTTCCCAAATTCTATCCCAAATCACGAATTAAATGATGAATTCAAATGATAGATTCATGTATTCTATCCAAATCCGAGTTAGAATCACTTACCCCGATGAATTTCTTGAAAAACCTTCGAAAAATCACCTCAAACTAAGCTCCCTAGGTCAAAATATGAATTAAAACCCTAACCCTCATATTTATAGAGTACCTTCCAGGTTCCCTGACTGCTGACCGCACAAAAACTAGTGCTGACCACGGTGGAGCACCGCTGACCGCACAAAAACCAGTGCCGTCCGCGGTGGATTTGACTGCAGTGATAGACTTTAGTATTTTGGTCATAACTTTCGCTACAAATGTCCAAATGCCTATCATAATATGTTTCTGAAAACTAGATTCAAAGATCTACAACTTTTATTTTTGAGTCATCTCCAAATTCCTTATAGATCAAAAGATACGAGTTTTTGAAGTCGGACCAGCGATCCTACAGAATGTTTTTGGTGTGCGGCCGCACACCATTTTGTGCGGTTCGCACACCATTTAGTGCGGTCCGCACTCCCCTCTGCGGTATGCATATTTTTGGTGCGGTCCGCACTCCCAAAAGTGCCAGAACCATCTCAGAGTTCCGAAATGCCTAGACTCCCTCGAAATTCACCACGAAACACACACGAGGCTCCCCAGACCTCAACCAAATGTACCAACATATCCCATAACATCATCAAAATTTAGTCGAGCCTTCGAATTACTCCAAACAAAACCAAAACACCAAATCCACCTCGGGTTCAAGCCTAAGGACTTAGGAACTTTCAAATTCCACAAACAACGCTGATATCTATCAAATTAAGTCCGATTGATCCCAAATTTTGCACACAAGTCATAAATGACATAATGGAGCTATTCCAACTTCTTGAGTCAGATTTTGATCTCGATATTAAAAAATCAACCCCTCGGTCAAACTTTCAAACTACGACTTCTCGTTTTCACCATTTCAAGCCGAATTAAACTACAAACTTCCAAAAAAAAATCCAGGCACGCTCCTAAATCCAAAATTACCATATGGAGCTATTGGAATCATCAAAAATCCATTCCGGATTCGTTTACTCATATTTCACCTTCCGGTCAATTTAATTCAACTTAAGCTCTCTTCTTGGAGACTAAGTGTCTCAATTCCTTTCAAAAACCTTTTCGACCCGAACTAATTTCCCCGACAAGTTACATAAGAACCGTGAAGCATGAATTTAGCAGTAAATGGGAAAACGAGATTGTACTTATTCAAAATGACCGGTCGTGTCGTTACATTTTGCATCTACTGTGGCTTCACTGTACGCTTTTAAACGTCTTGGCTATTCTATTTACTAGATGCCAGTCTTCAAACTTGCACGACTATAGTGCTGGATAATCTAGAAAAATGAAAGCATATATTGGATTCCCCGATCATTCGTGAAACAGGTAAACCTGCCTTTAGATTATACTTTTTTTGAGAATAACATATTGTTTGTACATTACTGTAATTTGTGACTATTTGTATATAAGGGTCCACATCGGGTACATCTAGCCTGCCTCCTATTTCCTTGAACGCTATTCCAATCGAAGGTTTGCATAAACTTTATATTATAATAACGTCCACCATACTTATGCCTTTGTGTGTCCATTTTTTTAATGATACTTCTTATATATTCAGTTCATAGCCAGGCCAGAAAGGTGTGTCTGGCTGCTAAAGAGCAACGAAGTGACTATATTGCCCTAAAAAACGTTCCGCATTGTCAATACTGTCGTGCAAAGAGGTTCGAATATGAACCTCCAGGATTTTGCTGTAACAGTGGTTCAATAAGGTTGACATCTCATAAAATGCCACCTGAATTATCAGAGTTATACTTTGAAAATACTGAAGAATCTGAAAACTTTCGAACTTATATTAGAACATACAACAACATGTTTGCATTTACTTCACTAGGTGTAAAGTATGATAAAGAGCTAGCGAGAAGAAATTGCGGTATCTACACATTTAGAGTCCAGGGACAAATGTATCATTTTATAGATGATTTAATTCCTTCTAATAAAAAACCCAGGAATTTACCGTTGTACTTCTATGATTATGATAATGAACTAGCTAATAGGATGGCTTGTTTGACAAGAGTTAATGAATCAATAGTGAAAAAGTTGATGGACATATTGAAAGTAAATCCATACACTATTTTCATAAAATCTCTCTTAAATGTTCCCCAACTATCTGATTTCAATATTGCTCTTAAATGTCACTCAATCTTAGATCAACAAACATATAACTTACCCAGCTCATCAGAGATTGCAGCATTATGGCTTGAAGAAAATCATATAGACATTTCTACACCACATATTCGAATTTATACCCATAGCAATAAAGCTCGATTAGTACATTATTATTATGGATGTTATGATCTGTTACAATATCCGTTATTATTTCCTTTCGGTGAAAACGGATGGCATTGTGGAATCAAAAAAATTATTCAAACAAATAATGTGACGAAACGTAGAGCTTACTGTGAACATGAACAGTTGCCCAGTATATCAAACATGTGTTCAGTTGATGGATTTCTTGATATGGAAGACGAATCATTACAAAAAGGAAAACGAAAAAGAGATACGGTGTCTTGTCGAGAGTATTACTGTTATAAATTTCAAATAAGAGATAATGAAACAAATGATGTGATACATTGTGGAAGAATATTCCAACAATTTATAGTAGATGTATATATAAAACTTGAAACACAAATATTAGACTTTTTCTCATTTAATCCAGATTTATTTAGAATTGAAGTCTTGCAAGGACTCTTTGATATCTTAAGATGTGATGAAAGGGAAGCCTCTAAAATTGGAAAGAAAACGTTCCTCCCTATTACATTTATAGGGGGACCAAGGGACATGCGCCGACGATACATGAATGCTATCGCATTGGTACAATATTTTGGAAAACCTGATATCTTTATAACAATGACTTGTAATCCTTCTTGGCCAGAAATAAAAGAACATTTGTCACTAGCTGATGAGGTACATAACGGACCTGATTTAGTTAGTAGAGTTTTCAGAGCAAAGGTAGAAGAATTAAAGACGGATATTTTAAAAAGACAAATCTTTGGAAGAGTTGCTGGATTCATGTATACTATAGAATTCCAAAAACGTGGTCTTCCACATGCTCATTTCCTTATTATACTTGCTGATAAACACAAATTACTGACTCCTGAATCTTATGATAAATTTGTTTGTGCAGAATTGCCTGATTCTAAAAAAAGATCGCGATCTATATTCACTTGTTACTAAACATATGATGCATGGTCCTTGTGGAAAGTTAAATCCTACAAATATTTGCATGAAAAATAATAACTGCAAATTCAGGTATCCAAACGATTTTGCTGAACAAACATCAGAAGGGAAGAATTCATATCCAATATATAGAAGGAGAAGAACCGGAGAAGCTGTAGAAGTAAGAGGTGAGTTTCTCGATTATTCTTGGGTAGTTCCATATAATCCATTTTTTCTATGCAAGTATAATTGTCATATGAATGTTAAAGTTTGTTCTGATATCAAGGTAGTAAAATATATTTACAAATACATTTGCAAAGGACACGATAAAATTACATTTAATATACATGGTAGTGATACAGATACAGACATAGATGAAATAAAATAATATCAATCTGCTAGATGGGTTTCACCTCCAGAAGCTGCGTGACGATTATTTCGTTTCCCAATAAGTGAAATGACTCCAAGTGTTTTTCACTTTCAGTTACATTTGGAAGGACAACAATTTGTCTCTTTTAAAAGTATTGAGAATGTTGATAGAATACTGAGTAATCTGATGGTTCAAAAAATAATGTTAACTGAATTCTTTGTTATGAACAGAACAAATAAAGATGCTATGCAATTGTTATTATTATATAAAGAATTTCCTGAGAACTTTGTATGGTCATTTAAGGAAAAAATGTGGACACGTCGAAAACAACGTACTGTAATTGGACGTGTTGTAACATGTCATCCAACAGAAGGAGAAAGATATTATCTTAGATTATTGTTGATGAACGTTAGAGGACCAAAATCATATCAGTACTTATGTAAAGTTGATGGCAAATGTTATAATACATTTAGAGAGGCTGCAGTAAAAAAAGGATTGTTACACTGTGATAACAACTTGATTGAATGTATGTCTGAAGCTAAAAATTATCAAATGCCATATAGTTTAAGGCGTTTATTTGCAACATTATTGGTGTACTGTAATCCCGCTAATCCAGCAGAACTTTAGAAACAATTTGAAGATTCAATGTCCGAAGATTTTAATATTCTACCTAACATGAATGCTAAAGATATTCGTTTTATGGCTTTAAATCATATTAATGATATTTTGCATTTGATGGGACGTGATATTAATGAATATAATCTTATCCCTGAGAAAATTAAACCTTCAGCTACTATCAGAGAAACCAATGACTGTCAGTTTGAAAGAAATATCATTGTTAGAGAATAAGATTTGCTTCTAGAGAGAAAATTAAATACTGAACAACGAAAAGCGTATGACACGATTTTTGATAGGATATTTTCTAACAAATCAGGAGCATTTTTCGTTGACGGATCTGGAGGAACTGGAAAAACTTTTCTATATCGTGCTTTATTAGTTGCTGTACGATCAAAAGGTTTTGTCACTTTAGCAACAACAAGTTCAGGTGTTGCAGCTTTGATCCTCCTAGGAGGACGAACTGCTCACTCGCGTTTTAAATTTCCTATTGATATCGATGAACAATATTCTTGAAACATTAGTAAGCAAAGCACACTTGCAACTTTAATACGTGATGCAAAACTGATTGTTTGGGATGAAGTATCTATGGCAAAAAAGAAAGTGATAGAAACTTTTGATATTCTCTTGAAGGATCTAATGGATATAAATGCTCTATTTGGAGGAAAAGTGGTCGTTTTCGGTGGTGATTTTAGACAAACTCTCCCGGACGTTAGGAGTGGGAAAAAAGAAGATTTTATTCAAGAAAGCTTATTATATTCTAAAATTTGGAATCAACTAGAAAAACTACGATTATCAGAAAATATGCGTGCAAAGACAGATCCTACCTTTTGTGAATAGTTGATGAGAATTGGAAATGGACAAGAAAAACAAATAGCCATGACAAAATTGAAATCCCTGATTGTTTTGTTATCCCTTTCATTTCTCAAAAAAATTTGTTATTTAGAGTTACTTATCCAAATCTACATACATGTTTTTCCGATGCATCTTCTATTACTTCGCGTGTAATTTTGACAACCAAAAATGACTTTGTTGATCAAATGAATGATTTGCTCATAGCTCAATTTCTCGATGATCCTAAAACATATGTTGCATTTGATGAGACTATTGAAGCAAACGATCAAAGTCAATATGAAGATTTTTTGCATACTTTACATCTTGCCGGTTTACCTCCCCATAAATTGACTTTGAAAAAGAATTGTCTTGTTATGTTGTTACGAAATTTAAATCCATGTGAAGGTATATGAAATGGTACACAACTTATATCTTGTGATCTTCGAAAACATGTTATAAGTGCTAAAATTGCCACTGGGGACTTTAAGAATGTCACGACCCCAAACTGGCCCGGTCGTGATGGTGCCTCTCGTGAATACAAGGCCAGCCGGCACAACACTCACATTAACCCTTTAATTATTAAGAGTCATCTTTTAAACCTTTAATTAGAACAATGCTTCATAATATACGTCTGAAAGAACAGTGCGAAATTAATATACAAGCCCGACATCGGGGTGTCACTAGTCATGAGCATCTACCAAGGTCTGAATACAACAAAAATAGTCGAAAGTGTACTAAGTACAGTAATGAAAATGAGAGGAAGAAGGCAGTGCTGCGAACGTCGTGCAGCCACCTTGCTAACTCCGATAACTCCGCGTCTGAGCAATCAACATCCGCTACCGGGTTCCGAAATATCTAAATCTGCACACGAGGTGCAGGGAGTAATGTGAGTACTCCAACCTAGTAAGTAATAAAAGTAAATAAAGACTGAGTAGTATGAAACAATGAATCCACATTTATGATAAACTCAATAAGCAAACGGGCTTCCAAATCAGAATACGAGTCGATCGTCTCAATTAAAATCCAGCCTTTTGGTAAAACAAATCATTTGAGAATGCTTTCTGACAGTTTCAGTAGGGGTTCAATACCATTTATAATAAAAGAGATGAAAACAATAATCGGCCTCTCGGGCAAACCAGTAATCATAAACATCTCATAACTTGAAAATTTCAGTGGAAATAACCGATGTCAAATCAGTGATCAAATTCTGAACATCTCATAAATCCCAGCTTAAATGAAAGTTGTTTTTAAAACATTTGTTCAACACTTCGACAGAGACTCAATATAAAGATGAGTGAAAACAGTCAATAAATCAACATATTCGATAGAAACTCATTCTTAAGAGGAGTGAAAAAATCAATAAGTTCATAAACAGACCCTTCAGGCAAGTATCACTCATGTGCATGTATATATCTATCGCCCCCTCGGGCTAGCCTCTCAGTCACTTATGACTCAACTCTTACCAATCAACGCTCATACTCAGCACTCATGCTCAATAGGTACCATATAGTAACCATTGCAACGCGCAACCCGATCCATATATCGCTTCGACGGCGCTCACTGGGAGTGTGAAAACTCCGGAGGGGCTCCTACAGCCCAAGCACTATATCGCTGCGGTGTGCAGCCCGATCCATATAAGAATCGCTGCGGCGTGCAGCCCGATCCATATACATATATATATTGTTGTGGCGTGCAGCCCGATCCATAGATATATTATCCTCACAACTAGGCCCTTGGCCTCTCTCAGTCATTAACCTCACCATCAGACTCTCAGTTTATCTCAGACATCAATCTCACAATCAGACCCTCGGTCTATCTCCATCATCATCTCACGATCACTCGGACCATCAGTAAAACAGGGAACTCAGCCCAAAATAGTGTCCACATTTTTAAGAATATAGTGATAAAGCCAGATTTGAGCAGTAAACAGGTAAAACATGATTAAAGATATGCTTTCAAACAAATAGAGTGAGGAAAGATAGTAAAAATACCCCCAAGGGTCTCAACAAGTCGGCACAAGGCCCCAAACATGGCATACATCCTAAAGTATAATAACATCAAACAGTTAACTATCAAATACACATTAAAATAGTCGTTCGGAATGGACTAGGTCACAATCCCCAGCGGTGCTCTACCCCACGCTCGTCATCCTCAAAGTAACACAACGATGTGTAATCCGGGGTTTCAAACCTTCAGGACAGTATTTACAATCATTACTTACCTCGAACCGGCGAAATCTCTAGCTCGCGACACCTTTGCCCCTCAAATTGGCCTCCACGCGCGTCGAATCTATCCAAAATCAGAACGAATACATCACAATATACTGAGGGAGCAAAGCCCAAGTGAAAACAATCGAAAAATATCGAAAATTCCGAAATTAGCAAAACCCGAGCCCTGGGCCCACTTCTCGAAACTCAGAAAATTTCACATCAACGGGTTCTTTATCTCCCCACGAGTTCATACATACTAAAAGTTCTTAGATCCGACCCCAAATGGTCTTCCAAATCCCCAATTAGAATTCCAAAATTCCAAGCCCTAGTTCTTCCACTTTTAGCTTAAATTCCATGATTTTCTAGGTGGGTTTCACAATATAATCGAGTTTTAGGTTCGAAATTCTTACCTCCAATCGATTTTCCTTGAATCCCTCGTTAATCTCCTTCAAAATCTTCAAAAACGAGCAGCTATGGGTGAAAATAGACCCAAAATCGCGGACAAGACGACTTAAAACATTCTGCCCAGGCCTGACTTTCCTTCTTCGCGAACGAGGTCAACCTCTCGCGTTCGCGTAGCACAAATTTACATTGACCAACTTTTACCTTACGCGAATGCGACACGCCAGTTGCGAACGCGATGCTTCCTCCGCCTTGACCTTCACGAACGCGTCCGCTCCTTCGCGAATGTGAAGTATAACTGACCTCAGACCCATCAGACCCAAAACCTCCTTCGCGATCGCGTATACTCAATTGCGAACGCGGCCTGGACCCTCGCGAACGCGAAGCTTACGAAACACGTCCCTTAGCGAACGCGAGCTACCCTTCGCGAACGCAAAGGCCAAAATACCTACAACTGTTGGAACAAAAATCTGCAATTTTCCAAACTCCAAAATGGTCCGATTGACCACCCGAAACTCACCCGAGGCCCCCGGGACCTCTACCAAAGGTACCAACATATCCTAAAACCTTATTCAAACTTGTTCCAATCATCAAAACACCTCAAACAACATCAAATCGCTCAAAACACATCGGATTCAAGCTTAAGTTCCTAAAATCTTCTGAAATACGATTTTGATCAAAAACCCAACCAAACCACGTCCGAATGACCTGAAATTTTACACACACATCCCAAATGACACAACAAAGCTACTGCAACTGTCGGAATTTCATTCCAACCTCTATATCAAAATCTCACCTATCGACCGGAACACGCCGAAATCTCAATTTCGCCAATTCAAGCCTAAACCTTCCACGGACTTCCAAAATGCATTCCGATCATTCTCCTAAGTCCCAAATCACATAACGGAGCTAACTAACTCATAAAAATCCCGATCCGAGATTGTGAGCACGTGATTTTTGGCCTACATGAAAATAACTCCTAAAAATAGACCAAAAATAATTTTTTATTGATTTTAGGAATTTTTCTTTATTTATTTGCATTTTATGCATTTTTAATATTTTTAAATCTTAAACAAAATCCTAAAAATTGTCATTTTTACATATTTAACTTTTAGTCTTTAAAATTAACATTTTTCTTTAGTTTTAAGTTAATTAGTTGTTTTAATGTTAAAAATAAATAAAGAATTTTAATTTCTACAAAATAGCTTAATTTAGGATTTTAATTAATTAAAGAAAAGAAAAAAGGAGAAAAGAAAATTAGGAAGAATGTATTTTTTGTCTTATTTCTTCTAAAATTGGGCCAATTCCTAAAGCGATCCAAATTAATTTTAAACCCCAGCCCGATTCTAATATCAATACCCATTTGATCCATTGCCCTTTTTTTATTTTTTATTTTTTATTTTTTATTTTACCCCAGTCCTTCACATAAAAGGGGAGCTAAGACACAAAAAGGGGGAGAGGACTAGACCCTTAGAACACAGAGAACGGCGCCCCTGTTTCTTCTTGAATGAGGACCCCTCTCGTAGAGAACAGAACAAGACGGCACACCCCCTATAGCCACTCTCTGAAAACAACAGACCAGCGTTGTTCCCTCCTCCTCTCTGGCCTCACTTTCTCATCTACTCTTCTCAACTTCACTCAGAATTTAATTTGGAAATAGAAGAGTTTTTAAATTTTCGAAAATAAAATAAGAAAAAGAAAGGAAAAAAATATATATATAATTTTGATCATTCATCTGGCGTATATATTCTAAGTCCACAAAGGCTTTTGGAGTTTCGAGTTACTGTCTATTACTTTCTGTCGCTGTATTTTTCAACTAGTAGTTGAGCTCAACCTGCAGTCGTGTTCTTCGGCCTCTATTTGGCTGTTTGGAGCTCTGTTATTGCTGTTAAGGTATTGTCCCCCTTTCTTGATCATGTAATTCTCCTTTTGATTCAATGAAAATATGTTTACCGTGCCATGACAGCGTATAATTATGTGTTTTCTTTTGTTAGATTTAGCCGTTCTTGTTAGTATTTATATTATTCACTTATCCGATTGTGCGTAAGTGTTGATTTAGGCCTATCTACAGTATCTCATATTCATCTTGTTGAATAGATGTGTTATCTAATGATGAAGATGAGCCATGTTGCTTTGTTTATTTGGCTGTGGTTTCATGAATTAGACCATCAATCGGTCAGATCTTGAAATTTCAAAGTTTAAGTAAAACAGGGCTTGCAACCTCTATCCTATCGATTCAGTATTTACTTCATGTTATTACTTTTATTTTGATTCACTGAAGTGTTTGAGATCTTCATTAGTTGACATTATTAGCTTGTTAATACTTTACTGTTTCTTCCCTATTAAATTAGTAGTTAGAGATTATAGTGATTGAATTATAATGGCTAAGTGGACAGTGCTATAATCAAAATTTGAGCTGTAGGGATAGGCTTAAAATGCTTGTTTCGATGTTTGGTTCCGTAGACTTTGTAGCGGTCTACAAAGAAACGGCTGGGCTATTGGTGAATGATTCCGTTCTTTGCACGCGCAAGATGCTATGGTCTTATTTCTAAGTATAACCAATTCAAGAACAGAATGAGGCTGATTATGGAGGGAAAGTTTCTAAGGATGTTGCCTCCCATCAGCATGCTCGTGATATCTTTGTATTCTGCTACTACAAAGCAGTACCCCTCCGTTCACGCTTGGCTAGCGCTCTAATGGTTATTCACTATCTGCCATATTTCTCACACTATGTGCTTTCTTCTTCCTTGGTCCATATCTTTTCCTTTTTTTTTTTACAAATTCACATTACCTCTTCCATAAAGAACTTTCCATACTTCCCATGGCCCTCGGATAATTAATTTTAATCCTTTAGAAATTGAGGCGCGCCATTTAGTTGAATTTTCCATGGCCCTCGCAAAGATGAAAGTGCGTAGTTGCTTTAGGCGCGCTATTTAAAAATTACCTTCCTAAACTCGGGTGTGCATTTCATGTGACCCAAATCCAAATCTTAACAACGTTAAATAATATGTGTCTCGGATTGCAGGTGCATTTTAAGTGGCGTGTATGTATTAAAATCAGATAATAGGCCAACTATAACAGTTGAGCGACCGTGCTAGAACCACGGAACCCGGGAATGCCTAACACCTTCTACCGGGTTAACAGAATTCCTTACCCGGATTTTTGTGTTCGCGGACTGTAATATAGAGTCAATCTTTTCCTCGATTCGGGATCTAAACTGGTGACTTGAGACACCATAATTATCCCAAGTGGCGACTCTGAATTTAATAAATAAATAATCTCGTTTCGATTGTCACTTTAAGTTGGAAAAAACTCTCTTATACACCCTTCCGGGGTGTAGGTAAAAGAGGAGGTGTGACAGCTCTAGCGACTCTGCTGGGGATCGAACCCAGAATCTCTGGTTCAGGGTTCAAGAATTCGAGTTTAGAATGACTGTTATAGTTGACTTTTATTTATTATCTGATTTTATTTACATGTTTGAGCCTAATGTGCTAAATGTCACTTTTTACCGCTTTGATATTGTTTGAACTGTATATAAACTGTTACGAAACCCTCCTCTCTCTGGGTCTTCTAAATCATCTGGGAAGTGTGCACTTCGTGTGACTTCTCTTCTGTTAGAGTCATATCCCAATTTTAGAACGAGGTTCGGACAAGATGCAAAGCCGGTGAAGCTTCTATATTCCCGGTACGCTGCCCCCCTCGGCTCGAGCTGTCTGCTCGGGTAAGCCAGGGCTAGAACAATAAACCCAGGTTTTCAAACCTAGTATAACATAGCCTCATGCCGTATCCCTAGTAGGAACGCTTGTTTGCATCATGTGCATTTTGGCTTTGGGGACTCAACACAGGAGTTGGGTCCGTCTAGGACAGGTGTACCCAAAATAACAGATCATCTTGATGCATCCTATGTGCTACATGTTGCATTTCTTCAAGGGTAAAAGGGTCATTTAGCGGATTAATGATAGTTGAGGGCAAATGAACAAAATGAAAAAGAAAAAAGAAAAAAAGAGAGGGTGAAGTGTGAAGAGAGTGGGGCCCAATTATGTTTTCTGTCACATTTTTTGTTAAGGAAAAAGAGCTTGAAAATTCAAAAAAAGATTTTGCACTCTTTCATCATTTTTCGAAAATCAGGAAATCAGAAAAAAAAAATCCAAAAAAAGTTTACATGTTCCATCATTTTTCAATTTTTTTTTTCAAATTAGTGTTTTTTTTTAATTCTCGCCCGTATCCAATCTGCCCGAACTATGCAAACCTGATTCTTTCGGGGTGTGATACGTAGGCAACCCACATAGGGTTCGGTCTTCCTAGTAAATCTCAGGTTTTTGGCTTAGCGGGGTCTTAGCCAAATTTTGCACTTCTAGCCACCTTTTGGCCAAATAAGCCATTTTGCAAATAACCTCAATCATGTCTTGCATGTGTCTAGTAGAGAATGTTATTGTCTCACATAGTGTTGGTTTAAGTTTTCTCATACAGGTGTGGATCTGCATACCGGAGTTTGAGCATAACAGATACCCCATGATCATTGCATTCAGGAGCTGCTCGAGCCGCCATTTTATGTTTTTGAGTCAATTGTTCATGTTTTACTTTCTAGTCCTGTATAGTAGTATCCAATTTTTTAGGTGATGTTAGAGTTTGTAATAGTCTAGTTAAGTTTGCGAAGTCTTTTGTTATTGTATTTCTTATTTTGTATTTGGAAATGTGTTACAAGTCAAAAAAAAAAAAGAAATTTTGCGTTTTTATATTTACGTTATAAGTTTTCTTGTAGTACCTCGTTAAAAGTTTTCTTTAAGATATTAATTCCGAAAATCCAAAAAAGATTTTCTTTTGAGGTTATTCTTTGGGAAATTAATAAAAAATGAATGATTTTTTTTTTTATTTTACAAGAACTTTAGGACATTGTACATAGAAGAAATAACATACCTTATCTTCTGTTTATCTTTTAAAATTTCTCCTTTAGGTAATTAAAAATTGAAATCCAAAAATATTTTTTTTGTTTATCTTTTTCATTTCTCATTTTGAAATCTTTCTACAAGGATATCAAATGAAAATTCAAAATATTTTTCTTTGGTTTATTGNTTTGAGGTTATTCTTTGGGAAATTAATGAAAAATGAATGAATTTTTTTTTATTTTACAAGAACTTTAGGACATTGTACATAGAAGAAATAACATACCTTATCTTCTGTTTATCTTTTAAAATTTCTCCTTTAGGTAATTAAAAATTGAAATCCAAAAATATTTTTTTTGTTTATCTTTTTCATTTCTCATTTTGAAATCTTTCTACAAGGATATCAAATGAAAATTCAAAATATTTTTCTTTGGTTTATTGTTTAGATTTCCTTTCGGAAAAAAAAAAAGAATCAAAAAATAATTTTTTCTTGTAGGGTTTTTTCTTTAATAATTTCCCATAGAGTGTTTATTTCAAAAAGAAGAAAAAAAAGAACAAAAATATTTGCTCGTTAAGCTTGAGTTTAGAATATGTTATAGGTCATTGAGTCTAGAAAATTCAAAAAAAGGGGTTTTGCTTCTTTTATTTTTCTTTTCTCATCAGAGTAGTCATTAAGGTAAAAAAAAGAAAAAAAAAGAGAACGTTGGTTTTTTTACTTTATTCTCAATCTTCCAGAACTACGCAAAGATCTGATTCATGTGGGGTCGTGATACGTAGGCAACCTACATAGAGTTTGATCGAATCATTTTTTTAAAAGAAAAAGAGAAAAAATGGGAGAAGAAAAAAAGATGGTGAAATTATGGGACATGAGAAATGAGAGGAAATAATAAAGTGATAATTAGAAAAAAGAGGAAGGAAAATGAGCAAGCCAAGAAGTGCTAAAAAAGAAAGAAAAGGGAAGATTGAAATGAACAAAATCGGGATGATGCCAAGTGACCTTGTGACCCTTGAAGTCATTCTAGAACCGTTAATTGTTGCTAGATGCATTACACGCAATGTGATATTTTTAGCTGTTAAATACCCTAATGCTAACAGGATGACCCCATTTTTGTTCCTTTTGTTATCTTCATTGAGCAGAAGGGTGGTTGGTTTGTGGTTTAAGTAACTCATCAATACAACACAAGGTCAAAGAGCAAGGTAGTCATGGCTAGCAAAGACTTGAACACAAGGGTTGTTGATCCGTTTAAGGAAATTGTTGAATCAGAATCTGAGATGAAAGAAGAGGTCTTAAGGTTGAAAAGACAGATGGCCAAAATATACCAAGCTTCGATTAGTGGGCGTAATCCACCATCAGTCTCTGATGCCCAACACTATGCTCCAGAACCAATTTTCAAGGTCTCGGGTCCATACTCTCACGCTCCTCATTTTGAGCCTCCCGGTGAGACTACAAAGCTTGCTAAGATAGTGGAGCAAGATGAGATATCCAGAAAGCTGAAAGGGTTTACGATGCCAAAGTTTAATTTGTATGATGGGCGGGGAGATCTAGTAACCCATCTGAGGGGTTATTGCAGTGAAATGAGAAATGTTGGCGGGAAAGATGAGTTGCTGATGACGTATTTCAGTGAGAGCCTGACTGGGGTAGCTTTGGAATGACATACTCGTCAAGATGTCGGTAAGTGGCATACATGGGATGGCATGGCTCAAGATTTTGTGCGACACTTTCAGAACAATATAGACAGTGTCCCAAACCGCTCCTCCCTATCTCAGATGGAAAAGAAACCCAAGGAAAGTTTTAAGGAATTCTGGTTCAGATGGAACGAACAAGTTGCTCGGGACAGTCCTCCCGTTAATAGAAAAGATGTTGCCGAGCCCCGCCAACGACAGAATCCAGTGGGCATTCTTGCTAGATGCTTTCAGCCTCAATACCAACCCCATGAATATCCCCGAACTCCACATAATCCACCCCAGTGTTATCCTGCGAACAATGTCCGACCATCTGTCCAAAAGGGTCACTCCAAAAGGCGAGCACGAGCACCGCAGAATCCCCGCCAGCCTCCACAAAATTTCCAAGTATCCTATAACCCACATTCAAGCCAAGGGTGTAGAAGGGAACAAAGGCTGAAAGATAATTTTACACCAATAGGAGGGTCCTATGTAAGTTTGTTTGAGAGATTAAAGCATTACGACATGATTGCACCTATTCTTTTAAATTATATAGACCCACGTGCGAGAAGTTTTGACCCTGCTAAAAGGTGTGAATAACATTCCAATGCCCAGGGGCACAATGTTGAAGATTGTCGTGCTTTGAAAAGGGAAATAGAAAGAATGATTAGAGAAGGAATAATTGTGGTCCAAGGCAGTAATACCCCAAGTGTCACACGCAATCCTCTACAGGTACATGACAACACACAGATTGTCGGAGTGGTTGGCAATGACAAAGGGTTGGTCAAAGGAGTCAAGGAGCCACTTGGTGAAATTAATGATATTGAAATCGGTACTGGTCTTGGTAATATTGATGTGGAACTCAGTGGCTAAGATGCCGAACTTGGTAATTGGAAAGACGCTCCTTTCTTGGCTAGCCAGGGAGGAGTCTTGATGGTTCATTTTGTTGTCATTTCTGTTGTCCGGTTTATTTCAGGGTTGTAATCCGGACATTGTCTTGTGGCTCAAACCCTTCTATCCTTTTATTTTGCCTAGTTTGTTTAGTCGTAGTAGCTCGTTTAGTGTTGTCTAGGTTTATTCCAGGATTGTAACCCTATTTTAGTTTGCTTGTTTTGGTATTCGAACCCCTTCACCGTTTGCCTAATGCAATTTCCTGTTTTCGGTTATTTTTAGTTCTGTTTATGTCTCTTCTCCTTTTATAGTTCTCTTCTTGCTCGCTCTAGTGACATGACATGCACACATAATTCTAGGCCTAGTCTTAAAGTTAGTTTACTCATGAAGCAATGAAGCAATTTTGAAGATGACTGGGGCATTTGAAAGAAATAAGTACATAATTTTGAGATCATTTGAAGCCCAAACTATGTGAAACTGGGGCAGATAATTTAGGAAGTTAATAGGGTAACAAGAATTCGTCAAAAAAAGAGTGCATCCCGGACGATTTAAAGCAAGCAACTTTGAGTTCAAGTGCATCTCAAGTTACAAGATAAAGTCAAGAAATTTGTCTCCGAATTGACGGAGGATATCCATTGTGAAAAGGGAATCACCCAATGAGGGTTCTGCACTTGACAAGGCGCTAAAGAAAAGTGGAAGGCATATCAGTAATACTAATGCCGAAGCTGCAAAAGAAATATTGTGCATGATCTTCAATTTTCATTTCAAGTTGCATGTGTTGCACTTGGCATTTTCAGGGATTGTTAAGCCCTCTTTCAGTTACCCAAACACTTATACCATTTGATACCCTCTTAAGCCTATACTAGTTTCTTTGACCTCCCCTTTTTTGAATCAAGTTAGAGTCATAAAAAAAAGTTTATGTCCCAATAGGTTTATTTGAAAAGGTTCATACCAAAAGAAAAATTCAAAAAAAATAGAGATAAAAAAGGAAAAGAAAGAAAAGAAAGAAAAGAAAAAAAAAGAGAGAAAAAGAAAGAAAAAGAAAAATAGCAACAACAAAAGTAGTCTTGTGAACTACATTTGGCCTGATTCTTGTCACCACAAGATACGTAGATAGCCTCATGGTTCAGTCATACCAAATAAATTATTTCATAATCCCATGAAGTCGAGAGTGGGAGATTCAAAAAAAAGAAATCAAGTTCCCTTGTTTTAGAAATTGGGGCAAAGTGTTTAGAATGGATTCCAAAAGTTGTAAATAAGTTAACCCCGTTGTCTTAGTTATTTAGAGCCTTTTCGATATCTTTTCTTTCTACCCCTGTCCAAAAGCCACATTACAGTCCAAACCAAATCCATTCGAAAGGTTAGAAATCAACAAAAGAAAAAGTAAAAAAAACCTTCCGGATAATCTTTGAGAGTGCTGAGTTTAGACATGCCAAGAGTATATGATGTTTTACCATGGTTAATGCCTTATCATCTGCAGAATCAGAGGAAATAAGAAGAAAAATAACAAAATGAGAGAGTCTTATTGGTGAAAACCTTCACCGGCACCATAAGGCGACGGTGAGTCGAGATAAATAACAAAATGAGAGAGACTTGATGGTGAAAACCCTTCGGGCACTACAAGTTGAATAAGGATTGTGAATCAGATTGGATAATCGGAGCATTGAAGCCCAAATTTCACGGTTTAGGGGTATAACAAGAGTTGAACATCAGACTTGCTTGATAGATTAGGCCACTTACTCCAAAGGTGCATGTCATGGTCATTAGAGTTGGTATCCGTATCTGATAAGTTTCTACTTTGTAGTTTTCTTGTTAGGAATCGTCTCATTCCATTATCCTTTACTATGTTCCTTTTGTCTTGTTTACTTCCTCTTCCTGAGTCTGTTTGGTCAGAACGAGTGAGAAATGACTTCAAAATTTGCCACCATCTTTCCAATTGCACAAAATGGGATCCGGCTAGCATATCAAAGTGGCATAAGTCAGGAAAAGAGTAGCAAGCACACTGAGTTGGTAACAATCAACATGCTTTGAGATTCATGTGAAATACAAAGGATCGGTATATGTCAACTCATGAACAATGCAACAGATAGAGGGTGTTGGGTTGGAACAGATCAAAGGTATTTTCTTTGATAAAATTGATAAAAGAAAATGGTTAACCAGTAACAAGCAAGGTCTTCCAAGCAGAAATTAAAGTTATCATGGCAAGTTATGGAACAATAGACCTCAAGGCCAAGGCCAGTGGTTTAAGTCGAG